TTTTTTTCCTATCGGCCATTATTGAAAACAGACTTGTTTACGTTCATTTTACCTTTAGTCTTTATGTTTTGAAATTTCGCCATGAAAAGGTCGCCAAACAAACTAAACTCGTTCGCCATGGGTGTAAAAATGGTTGGCAGCATTCATTTTAACGTTGCTATRAATTGTTTTTGTATTAGTTGATGTCTGCAGGTGTCAGTAGCCCAAACAATTCCTGAGTGGAAAGACGCCCGTGTTAAAAACCAAGAAATTAAAATGAATTACGCTATATTCTTGGGGTGCAGCCCCCTTGAGATATAAATGTCAACGAAACAGCCGCCATCTTGGTTGAGCTAAAACGAATCCAACCTAATCAATGCTTCGTTGTCGTCAACCAACATGGCGACTATGGCGACTAAAGTCTACGAAGGGGAAAGAATGAAGAAGGAAAAATAATTACATAATTACTGTTTTTGAGTAGAAAACTTAAGGTTAAAAAATCTTGAAGCCCATTTCCATCGATACGACATATCAGAACCGACATTGAATTGGCTTCGCGTATTTTCGATTCGACCAATCAAAACACATTGCCACATTTTTYCCCTTTATATTTTAGTGACTTTGTTAAAAAAATACCATTATTTTTCTTTGTACTTTTAAAACAATTTAAGTACACTATATCAACTATCCCTTTTAACTGGAAGACGCAGTTTAATAATTTATAAATAACGCTAAATAATGCATTTCAAATGTTATATAGATCCTCGCTGACTTTTATTAAAAGGTATGATTCTCTAATTCTGCTACTTCTTCTATCTATTCTACTTATTTTAGGTTGATATAGAGCTGGTGACAATCTGTCCCAAGTTGGAATATGGTTTTGGAACGCTTATATGTGTTTATCCTCGTTGTAGATCTTTTTTGGATCAAGGGGTGAGTAAGAGTTTGTTATTCATTGTACAAGTCMCCAAGTGTTGATTTAGCTTCCTTTGATCCCAACCGTGCATGAGTATTGATCTCTTCTTGAGGATTGTGGATTGTAAAAAGAAGAGAAAGGCAGAGAGTGAACTTAAAGAAAATTAAAAAAGAAAAAGGAAAAGAAACTAAGGAAGGAAGAAACGAAGGAAGGAAGGAAAGAAGGAAGAAAGGAAGNAAGGAAGGAAGGAAGGAAGGAAGGAAGGAAAACGGCCGGTGTCATAAGCTAAAATTCGTTAATGTTCCAAACAGAGAGGGAGTATAGGGATCAAATTTTATGAGTTTTGTTCATAGAGGAATAAAGAACGATCATGACACTACTGATCATCATGATTCGCTCAGTAGGACAAAGTGTAAATTGAACTTCTCATTTTCCAAATGTGTCACCAAAACCGATACGAAATTCAAGTGCTTCAATTTTTTTGACCCTTAATCTCAGTACCTTCAAGAGCTAACCTCTTSAATATCTTAGCAGAGAAAATTTAATATTATTTACGCATTTATTGAAGAACACAAGATTAAAGGCAGGTTAACGGTACGCCATTATTTCGGACAAGCTCTTACTTGTACACGAGTTGTTTTTTTTTCGGTTTGAAGCACGATGTGTTGAAAACACAATCAAGACATCTTGTTTCAAACCGAAAAAAACCCTCATGTATAATCTATGTGGAACACAAAAGCCTCAAGCTCTTGCTTGCATTGAAGCTCACAAAACGTTTTATTTATAAATTAATGGCGTGCAAATTTGTTTCTGCTTTAAATATGACAAACTGCATTGATTATCACAATATGTCGTACGTGTTGTATACTCATAGTTTAGAACCAAACATAAGATTTGTGCTCATACTAATAGGGTTTTTTTTTTTGTATTATCTTCAGACATTGTGATGCGAACTTCTGGTTCAAAACGGATGACGATGTTGTAAAGGAATTGAAAATGATTTTACTTGGYTATGACACGAAAGTACGGCCAAACTATAACGGTGAATATTGATCAGTTATGAGGAGTTCAAGTTGCTTGATATGATACTAGTGTGGTATACAAGTAAATTATATAATGATTGATTGATGTAAAGGATTTGATTGGATGGGATAGAATGGAATGGGGTGGTTCTCTGTATGTATGAATTGCTGTTTAAATGATAAATGGAAGGGATAAATGGAGAGGGAGAGGGAGAGAGAGAGGGAGAGGGAGAGGGAGAGGGAGAGGGAGAGGGAGGTGGGTGCTATTTAACAAA